TATACATACAATATATGTGTCTCTATATAATATATAGTCTATGTATTATATATGTCTATATATTCTAATATATATCATATGCGTATATATGTCTATATATCATATAAACATGTATATTATTAGAATAAGTTTTATTTATAAAATATGTATTATATAGAGAGATATCTAATAAATATATATAGAGAGATACGTAGATGTATAGAGAGATTTATTCTGTAAGTTCTATTCCTCTAGAAAACCCTATGTAATAGAATAGCCAGAGCCACAGAGGATAGTACTTTATACTTCACAGGACGGCCAGTATCGAAAAACAAGTAAAGCAAGTGTCAGTAAGGGTGTGGGAAGAAGAGAGCCTAATGCTGCTGGTGAGATTGTAAGTTGCCAGAGCGTTTTAGAAAACATGAAACTTCCTTTCAAAAATTAAAAAATTCATTGCCCTCTGATACACCTACCCCACACGTGATACACAGCCAGGCGAAAAGAGAGTGGATCTTGGGGACACTGATGGACTCATGCCTTCAAGGCAGCACCACAAAAGTACTGATGGGTGTAAGAAAATCAGATGTGGGGGCTAGAGAGATGGCTCAGTGGTCACGAGCACTGGCTCCTCTTGCGGAGGGCCAAGGTTCAGTTACCAGCACCCACATGGTGACTCACAACCACCTGTAACTCCAGTTCCAGGGGATCTGATGCTCTCTTCTGACCTCCACAAGTACCAGGAACACACATGGCAAACAGATATAGATGCAAGCAAAACATTCACACACACAAAAATAAATAAATCAATAAATCAATCAATAAATCAATCAATCAATAAATACAAAAAGCAGAGGAGGGGGAACCAGATGTGTACTTGCAATGGAATGCTAGCCAGGCATGAAAAAGAAGCAACCTCTGTCATTAGTGATGTGAATGACTTGAGAGGGTTTGGGCTAAGTCAAAGGTTGGAGAAAGCTTGTGTCTTGATGGATCTAAATACCTGACCTCCTAGAAGTAGGAGAATGGTGGTCCCCAACAACCTGCAGGGGCGAAATGTGGACATTCATGCCAAAGGTAAAGCTGTTCAGTACGAGATAAAGATTTTGGGTGTCCAGGTCTCGGAGACCTTCATGGATGGCAGAGTGATAAGCTATGGCAGACAAGAAGGCAGTTTGGTTCAACACAACTCAGTAGCCAGTGTTGGTTCAAACCTCAGGAGTCTGACCCTGAGGGTTTGTTTTAGTGGTGCACTGCCGGGCGGTGGTGGCGCTCTCCTTTAATCCCAGCACTCGGGAGGCAGAGCCAGGCGGATCTCTGTGAGTTTGAGGCCAGCCTGGTCTACAGAGTGAGTTCCAGGAAAGGCGCAA